GGTAAAATGAGCTTGAGCTTCATCGGCACTTTTCTACAACGAATCTGCTTTGTACTGTTGGCTATTTGACCCCAGAGACGCTCTGGCTGTGCAGTGTGGTGCCTTAAATAAGTTTTTCCAGGTGAAAAGTTTGTATTTGTACCTTTTCATAACCGAATGTTTTAAAACAGAACAGTAAAATAAAAGGCTGGAGACGAGACGGGGTGTGTGGAGTCAGTACAGCTTAGAACATATCATTTCAGTGGATTATGGTTCAGTTATGTTCCCTGACTAAAGGTACTGAGATGTACCCTTAAGGTACCACCCCAGTGACAAGAGGGGGACTACCCCAGTGACAAGAGGGGGACTGCCCCAGTGACAGTTTAGTACTTTTATTTCTGAGAGTGTGTTTAACAGAAAGACATGCTCCTTTACTTTACTACCATTAGAAAACACTTCTGATGTAACTCATGGGGTTTTTATTTTAGCCACTACACTTTAATACAGAAAGGCGATGATACAAGAACAGAACTGAAAGGATCTGGTTTCCACACAGTACAGTGAATCATCATTACACAAGAGAGAGAGAGTCTTGCTAAGAAAACACGCCCCGTTTCATCATAATCATTACGCTGCGGTAATTTTGGGAAGCTGAACAAAAAAGGCTGCCAGAAGGAAGTAAATTCCATGTGTAAAGCAAATACTGACAGCTCCAGTTCACACCAATGAATCATTCATCTCTCTCACACACTCTCGTAATGACTGGAATCAGCGTGTTACTCAAACAGCAATAAAGAATCCAGAAGGTTTTAGTTATCATTTTCCCGCTTGGACCATCTTTTGCCATTCTGCTCTTGCACGGCTCAGTGTTTCCCGTACTGCAACATGCTCATTATACACTCTTGAAGGACCAGTGATTCTTCAACTGTCGGTTTGCACGAAGCAGGGGAAACATTAAAATGTGTACAGCAAGAGAAACTGAGGGCCGAGGTTGGGAAACACTGCCGTAAAGTCAACACGAAACCAAAACTGACTTACTTTGTTAGTTCATCTCTCTATTCAGTGAAAAAGATCAACTTGACCCTCTCAAAACCAGACTGCGTCCAGCCAAACACGTCTTGGCTGATCTACTACAACTGAGCAAATTGTGCATTTATTTCAGCACGATTTTTCATATTTACCAGTCAAAATTCTTATTTTGTCATTATCTTCCATTTATTGGCTGTTTACATGCAATGATTTTTGCCAATCTGATTGAATACATTCTGATTATAGATTAAGACTGAGGTGTTTATTCTCACTCTACTCAACAATCTGATGAAAATCTGTTTACATGCTCACTACACATAACCAAAACCATGCGCAGAGAACCGCTTAGTGTAGACGTTACCATAACCAGCATCACGTGAGTCCAGTCAGAGTGAGACGAGCAGCAGTGAGCAGTGCTTGTGTTTTTAATTACTTTAAAATGATGTCAGACTCAGAAAAACGTCCTCCACATGTCCTTATTAAAGAAGGCCAAGAGGAAGACGTCGTGTTCTGAGACACATAAGCTGGACGTCCGTCCCACCGCCGTCTTTTAAAGATCAGACCAGTTTCTGCTCCGCCATGTTGAACATTATAAACTTTCACTATGACGCAACGAACATGATCAGAACGGACTTAAACTTTCCGACAGGGAATGTAATCAGATTCAGGCGTTTACACGGATATTATTCTTCTATTGAACAGATTATTTACAGGATTACCCACCTCGTTCAATCAGACAGAAACTGTACTCAAAATAGCCTCAATCAGACTAGACTATTCCGTATTCATGCTGCTACTTGCGCAAAAGCGACGCAGCATTACTAGCAAAGCAGAACTCTGAGGCGTTTTCTGTTTTTAACAGTGGAAAAACGTGGTGGGAATGTATTTTGTACATGACCAAGAAACGTAGGAGCTGTTGGCTGTTCATACTGAGGAAAATCACAGCCTGTTTCCCGGTAAGATTAAGGCGTTTAGGCTGCGTTCACATTACCAGGCTGAAGTGGCACAAATCTGGTTTTTGTCCTAATGTGACTCAGATCTGATGTTTTCAGAGCTGTGTGGACACAAATCTGATCTTTTCAAATCTGACCTGAGCCACTTTCATATGTGGTCCTAGATTGGATACGTATCCGATTCGTGGCCATGCGACCTCAATGTGACGCTCAGATCAGAGTTCATGTGCTTTTTTCCCCATTGCACGTGACCATCATTCAGCGTTACCATGGCAGCAGCGCCGAACAGAAGTTAAAGCCTGTAAACGGTGGAAAAGCAACTCATCTCACCTTTTTCACCTTCGTCTCACTCTAATAATGAAGCTGAGAGCTGATCAGAGTTAATTATCTTCTCAGCGAAGCTCGTTCTGCTCGTTAGTTTGTGCTGATGATGAACGTGATTCATTCACGTGACGTTACTGAGTAGGATGAGCTCATGAGGGTCATTTCAGGACGCCGGTTCGTCACATTAATGACAGATTTGAGTCACTTACCCAAACGAGTGTGAACCATCGTGTCAGAGAGATCAGATTTGAGCAACGAGGCTTGTAATGTGAACGTAGCTGTAAGGGCTGCAAGACTGACGCAAAGCCTCAAATTTTAGCGGCAAATATATACTGGTAACATATCGAGATTTGTGTGTGGGAATGCTAAACTACTAGCATTGCCTAGATCGTCCCCCTACGACAACATAAATCCAACAGCTCTTCTTTGTAATTATCTATGTAAATAACCACCACCTTTCTGAAGCCCTAATCTTTTTTTGTCATTAGTGCTGATGATAACGTTGATGATGTGATATACGTCACTGATCGTGATAAAATGCTGCTAAAATCTCAGGTAGAAAGTCAATGTGTTGTACCAGCTGATACACCGTCACATGTTGTGCACACACTGCTTATAGGGTAAAATAAACAGCGCCATCTTGTGAAATTAGTCCGTTCCTGCAGACAGAAAATGTGTGACTAACGTCCCGTTCCCACAAAAAACACATTATATGTATGTGTGTGTGAAACTAGTAACAACAGATTATCAACCAGCGCTGAATGATTAATCATTTTCACAGTAAAATAGTGTGATTTTCAAATCCCAAGAGTTGCCATTTTAATTATATCCAAAGCCCTTATAGGAAAGTCTGTCCACTCGACGGCCACCTTGGCAACGGTTGTTATTTCCAGTCATACAAGACCAGACTGTAATCTGTTTGAATGAGGAGAGACTGAAGAATGGGGGGAAATCTGTAACTAAAAGCCAATCAATTCAATATTTCAAAAACATATATAAATTCACTGATAAAATCTGACCAAAACAGCATAAGTAGTTTATAGCGACTGGCTCAAATAACATGCAAAAAAACGCCATTTTTAAATTATTAATTATTAATATTGCGCATGCGCAGATCTTCAATGATTAGGGCACACACTGTCATTTGCTGCTTAAACAGCAGCTGATTCGCTCATTTTAAAGAAGGGCAGGATTTTCCTCGGAAACAGAGACATGTTGAGTATTACAAACTTTCTAATTGATATTTCAGCCGGTGACCAGTGACCCGTCTCCTTCTTATAACATCTGCTATATCCTACGTTTATCAAAGCTGTCTTAAGTTTTAACTGGGAAAATTTCACCAAATAACACAGAAATCGTGAACTGGCAGTCTGGAACATCACAACCGGTGGCCTCAAGCCTTAAGATGGACTTCTTGGTGAAAAAATGCCAGCAAAACTTAAGTAAAAGGAGCAATGAAACTTAAGGCTGAGGTAGATGACACCCCATCATTAAGACAGCAGACTTACGGTCCAAGAAGGCCTGCTCTTCTTCATCTTTATCCTCATCTTCACTTCCTCCACCTCCCAGCAGGATCTCTCTTTGTTTGGATGCGGCCTTAGAGGCAGCTTGCCTCACCTGCCTCGGCTTCCTGCTCACCCCTTTGTCCTCGTCACTATCGTCTGTGAAGACAAACCACACATTTTAATTACCACTGACGATATGGTCAGTCAAACAACTGATCTAACCATGCTCTGCCCACACGTGTGTTCTGTTATGAGGCTGGAGAGACTTTAGGCAAAATCACATTCAACCTAATAAAAACTGTGGTACACTGAAAAAATTCATAAGGTATGAATTCTTATTAAGCTCATTATTTTGTATTTAAGTGAATACATGACAAACTGAAACTGTCAGCAGGATAAATTCATTTCCATTTCCAGCCAGTGTGGTTTCGATTACCTACAACACAGTCCAGCCTGACAGAATCACATCCTAAAGAATGCATTTGTGGGCGAAGCAGAGCTCAAATCCCCCCTGAAACAACCACTGTTATAATTTTAATGTCAAATGGCTGTATTAAGAATAGAAATGACATATTTGGCACCTACCTGAATCTCGTTTTCTCTTCAGTGACCTTTTGCCAGCCTTCTCCACCTTGCCCTTCTTCCCCTTTTTACCCTTTTTAGCTTCGTAATCACTTCCTCCATCTTCTTCCTCCTCCTCTTCTCCAAAGTCATTGTCTTCATCACTACCAAAATCATCTGGTGGGCAAAAGATAAACAAATTGCAGCTGCTTCAGTGCCGGATTCACTCATTCTCTAAACCGAGGCTAAGCAGCCAATAACAACACCACCACCACCACCAATAATAATAACAATCATAATAATAATAAAAAAATAAGGATGCACCAAAACTTTCAGCCATAAAAAATCTGGACAAAAATGGTCTATTGACAATCAGTTTTCAGCCAAAAGTGAGACAAAAACCATTAATTAAAACTTTATAAACTTTTCAAAACTTTTACATTTTCTTTTGGCTTTGTTTGTCCTTCCCTGTGGTTCACAGTGTATCTACTCATGAACTCCTATGGATACTCGATTATCAAAATTAGTCAGAATGCACATCTCAAAAATGTACAACACCCAAAAGTTCTTTACTACTGTTTTGATGCCAGTTGAAAACAAGACATCCTAATCGATACACAGAATAAGGTCCCTGTTAATACATTAATGTCCTTTGTAGTTTTTGAAATGATGAAAAAGTTCATAGTCAACAAAGTGCAAAATATAACCAAATATAATGGAATCCTTTGCTCTGGAAGACTAAGCGGGCTGTAGTCAAAGACACGGGATTTCGTGACACACACTGTAACCTACATACTCTAATAATTAACACGGATTTTATGTACTGTTTTAACTGGTCAGGCTCTTTTCAGTTCCTGGCCCAGCATGTCCTGAATTTCAGTTTTAATGTCAGTACATCACTATTAATAAACAAACTTACCTGCTGAATCATTTTTGGATTTGGAGAGTTTGTCGTCGGACTCGTCACTGGAAAAGAAAACACACGCATGAGCAACAAACGATGGATTCAATATTGAAGCTCCAGCGCCGAGTGTACAGTTAGAATTAGCAACCACTTATGTGGGTCAAATGCAGGAAGTGGATTTTAAAGGCTCATAATCCTGCACACCATTAACAGTATTAGCACTGGCAACACCGTCTGCTCAAGCAGGCATTAAACTATTCCTATAACGAGAGAACAACTCAAATGATGTGCTTAAGCTCTATTATTTGCGAATGCCGGGGTATTAAAAGCGAAAGGACCGTTACCTCTCCTCCTTCGAGTTCTTGGACTTCTTGTGCTTGATTTCGCGCTGGGATGCGCGCACCTTCTTGGGCTTTTCGGAGTCTCTCTCGTACTCCTCTGGAAGACACACAAGCAAAACATTTAACTTGGATCAGCAGAACATTCCCACGCGGAAAAAACCAACCCAACCCGGGAAGCTCAGCTCCTCATTAGGGTCCCTTAAAGGTTTCTCTTTTTCTGGACTGGGGCTGACTGCCATGTGCTGAATGCATGTACCACGAGAACCAGTTTGAGAACCACTGACTGTTCTAGATCATGCATTGAAAAAGACAGATAAAAAACATTTATAAAGAGCCTGAATAATATAAAAAAAAGTGTATAGTAACGAACAGCCGTTACCGCATCATCTCATTTTATTATTAATATTTTATAAATTTCATTAATTTGCTGATAAATTTTAATTATTGGAAACGTCACTGATCTAATACCACATATCAGTATTGGTCTGATATGAACACAAAAATACTGGATCGGATATCAAATGAATCCGATCCAATCTTGTAACAAATCTAACCTGACAGCACACATACATTTGTAAGCAAAAGTCTGAGCACCCCTAGTCAAACATTTTGTTGATTTTCTAAGTGAAAATAGGTTCAAATATATTCTACAGTGAATAAACTGAAAATATGACACTTTTCTGCTAATCTTAGTGCACATAGTTTAACATACTGGGGAAAAAATAACTATGAAAATGTTTCAGAACTTTTGCACAGGCCACATTTTATAATACAATTCAGTCAAAAAACAGTAATTGTGCATTAAAATGTGTTTTCTGTAAAGCAGTGGTGCCAAACTCAACCACTAAAAGGGCCATATTAACAAAACCTCTACAAATCTGGGAGCCAGAGAACGTCTGTGTTTTTATTTGGTTGTTAAATAATATGTTGCTATAATCTGAGTCACTGTTTATTCAAAATATGCCAAAACATCAACATCAAAATAAAGGCAGCTGTAGTGAAGCTTGAAATATTACATAATGAATACTTAACATATTTAGAACTAAAATAACTAAAATGAATAAATATATGAATATATACACATTATGCTGCAGTGCATCCTGGGAACTGTAGTGCAGCGTGTTTTGAAACGGGCTACTATTAACAGAAAATATATATAAGCTCAGCATGGGCCAATACTTAACGTTTCAGTATCGGTACAGAAAAAAACGTTCGTATCATCTAATTTGTAATCCACCACGTTCCTTAGTAAATAAGTACTTTATTTATTCATTTAAAAGTGCTAGTGCAAAGACGTTAACCCTATATATGATCGCTGTAAGCAAACACCTGCCATGCCGTTTTATATGTTTTGGCCGTGTCCCTCTATTTCTTTACAATGGACCTCCATCTTCAGGGCTTTTTCTGACTTCACTGGTGTCCATATGGAACCCACTCCGCTTACTGGTTTGTTTGGTGTCACTACAGAATACCGTCTTTGTCCAGTGGCCAGTCTGATAGAAAAGCATATCCTTCTCTTATAGCAAGGCGCTTAATTTTACTCAACTGGAAGAGCTGCGCTTCTCCTCTTTTTGGACACTGGATGAGACACATGATGCATTTTCTCATCTTAGAGAAAATCAAGTTCACAATGTAAGGGTCAAATAATACGTTTTATTTCCACTGGAAACCATTTCTGTCCTATGCGGATGGCCTTCCTATTTCATAGCACTGTATGTTTAAATATTGACAGGACAGTATTTTTTTTAATATACACCGGTCAGGCATAACATTATGACCACCTCCTTGTTTCTACGCTCATTGTCCATTTTATCAGCTCCACTTACTATATAGGTGCACTTTGTAGTTCTACAGTTACAGACTTTACTTTGTTAGCCCCCTTTTACCCTGTTCTTCAGTGGTCAGGACCCCCATGGACCCTCACAGAGCAGGTACTATTTGGGTGGTAGATCATTCTCAGCACTGCAGTAACACTGACATGGTGGTGGTGTGTTAGTGTGTGTTGTGCTGGTCTGAGTGGATCAGACACAGCAGTGCTGCTGGAGTTTTTAAACACTGTGTCCACTCACTGTCCACTCTATTAGACACTCCTACCTTGTCGGTCCACCTTGTAGATGTAAAGTCAGAGACGATAGCTCATCTGCTGCTGCACAGTTTGTGTTGGTCATCCTCTAGTCCTTCATCAGTGGTCACAGGACGCTGCCCACAGGACACTGTTGGCTGGATATTTTTGGTTGGTGGACTATTCTCAGTCCAGCAGTGACACTGAGGTGTTTAAAAACTCCAGCAGCACTGCTGTGTCTGATCCACTCAGACCAGCACAACACACACTAACACACCACCACCATGTCAGTGTTACTGCAGTGCTGAGAATGATCTACCACCCAAATAGTACCTGCTCTGTGAGGGTCCATGGGGGTCCTGACCACTGAAGAACAGGGTAAAAGGGGGCTAACAAAGTAAAGTCTGTAACTGTAGAACTACAAAGTGCACCTATATAGTAAGTGGAGCTGATAAAATGGACAATGAGTGTAGAAACAAGGAGGTGGTCAGAATGTTATGATCTCATCAGTGTATATATATATTCTTAATCTTGGTTTTCATTGTGTTGCACAGTATTTCAATAATGTGAGTCACTGTTTCTTACTAGTATAAAAAGTGTAAAAAAGCAATAAATTACACTGCTTTAAAAGCACGAGTGCATTATTGTCCATTCCTGCTTGTGTGTGTGGAGGCTGGCAATTCACATGCAAGACCTCTCAGGTAGCACCAAAAACCAAAAAGAGCTTAACAGCAGATTGTTTTTGATTTCGTTATTGATATATTATTCATACAGGAAGCAGTGGTGACAGATACAGACCTGTCTGGGGTCTCATGGGGTAACTTGTTTAAACTTCCTTACTAAACATAATATGGACAAAATACATTGTGGTTTTTTGTGCAGTGTACTTAAAACACTCTGATGAATTCTATGCGTTGCATGATTAAAGTTGGACTAAAGTGACTTCCATTTGTTTGATTTCAATGTCTGGATGCACCTTAAACATCCTATGAACATATGAGACTGGCCTGAATGCTCAAAGCATACAATAATACATTCATTTGCATATTGCAAACTACTGCACTGGGTGGTATACAAACAATAAACAACATCACACATTTTCTCAAATACATAACGGTATCACATGATGTTATCACAGACGTCATGGAAATACATGAGGCGCCATTTTAAACACCTATAACTCGAGTTTAAAAGCTCTTAAAAATATAACAGCAGTGTTAAAATGTTTTACGCTGTTCACTGTTCAGGAAATTATTGTATTCTTTTACATTAAAAATGTTAAAACATTTACAAACTATGATTTTCCTTAATTGCTCCATCCTAACCTATTCATTCTGGACTCGCTCTGGAGCGCCCTCTAGTGTTTGAGGAAACCAGAAGACATTGCAGAGTGGTAATTCTCCTCTCTACAAGTTCTCTGACATGTTTGCCCTCCCTCAGGAATTTTACAGCCTTTCTAGAAATAAAATATCATAATTCACAGAGCGATGTAACCCGAGACCTGGCTTAACCTGTGTACAGAAAACAGTATAGTGAATTAAGTCTTAAGTGGGACGTTACCTGCATCATCAGATTCATTGAACTGCGAATAATTCACCACCTTCCGGTTCCTGTGGAGTAAACACAATCCATCATCGTCACAGCAGTAAACTGGAAGCAATGGTACAAGAGCTCCGAAGCCAATGGAGTAGCACAGCAGCCTGTCAAGACTACAAGAGACTATTTAACATGCCTACGTACCATTAGCTTAATTAATGACTGTCAAAACAGCTCTTCGATTACCATCTCAATGAGGGTTTCATTAAAAGTTAAGCCGTGCCCTATTTAGCCACTCTTGCCAAACAAGGCCTTTCAACATGCGCGATTAGGCACAAGCTACTTAGGAAAGAAAGATATTAGGCCGAGTACAAGAAAGTCAGAGAAACTGTGGGCCAGAATGTGATCAGAACTGTCAACCCAGTTTCAGGGAAACGAACATTATCAGAGCTTTATATTTGTTTACAAAATCCCTCCGAACAACCACATTACTGACAGGATTCCTAGGGGCCTTATTCAGACCAGCCCCCCCCCCATTTTGACACAAATTGAGTACTAACCCTGACCAAAAGTGTCTAATTTCCAGGAATCATCCCTAGAAGTGGCAATGCGGACACAGAAAAGCTGCCCATTTAAGAGACACACAGGAGACCCGGGACAGAAGCTCAAATGCGGGACACCAAAGTGGGAGATATTGCCTTCTCTATCATTGCCAGATCCATCTTTCCTCCCACTCTGGACCACCAGAGCAAATACCAGGATGCGTCGCAAGTGCAAACCACTCGACCGCAACTGCTTTGGCCCTGCTGGAGTAATTAAGTCGCACCACGTCTGGCCAAATTAAGGGGAAATGTTAGTGGAGCCGCCGCAATAAAACCCTTTAACGAGGGGTTTACGTTACAGGGGAAAAGGATAGCCAGCGCTACTGTCCTCGTCCACTGCGATCTCCCTGGGCAGCACCACTACGGTGTTTGTTTCTGCCTTGATGTTGATGCAAAAACGATGCGAGGCCCAAATCCCAGCTGAAGGAGGAGAGCGCATTAGAGCTGCAACAATTAATCGATTAATAAATTAATCGCCAACTATTTTGATATTCGATTAATCGGTTTGAGTAATTTTCTAAGGTTAAAAAAAAGCAAAAATTCTGATTCCTGCTTCTCAAATTTTTATTTAAATTTAATTTTCTGACACCAAACTGAAAATCTTTGGGGTCTGGACAAAAAAAGAATTTTTTAAAACCATTTTCTGACATTTTACAGACCAAAGGACTAATCGATTAATCGGGAAAATAACCAACAGATTAATCAACAATGAAAATAATCGTTAGTTGCATCTTTTGAGTGCACTGGGAATTAATTCATGATGCGGTGGGGGGGGGGCGGTCAAAATACCATTAGGCACATTTACATCCACATTGACTACAAAACTCTACACATAGGTTTTTGCAGTTGAATGATTTGGAAGTAAACCATGTCATTCACAGTAGTCTGAGGTGTGAATCATTGTCAGAATCGTTTACAGTGTTGGTGATGGGAACCAGACGTCTGAAGAGCTTTAATGCATCTGAAAAGCATCACTGAAAGCATTTACATAAAATGGTAATGAACACGTTGCCTGGTGCCTAAGACAATGTTTTATGATAGGTTTAAAATAAGATTATGATCAAAAGTGTATATATAGCAACTGATTTTTCCCCTGAGATTTACCACTATTTCACAAATTTCACTAAAAACTCAGAAGACATGTAAATTCACTCATTGTTTTTTTTTTTATTAGTGAATAAAAATGTTATACTGCACTGTAGACTTTGTGATCCCTGGTTCCTAAAGAAATCTGAGTCAACAAGTTTCTCCTAAATTATAAATCAAAATAATAAAGCATTTCACATCAGACTATTCTGAATGACTTTGTTTACTTCTTAACGATTAAATTATGCAGACATTTAGCAATTTAGAAATCTGTGGAATCCCCCCTTAAAGACTGCACTGGCAATAAAAGTGCAGGAATCTGTCAACAGCCAGATTAGAGACGATTACATGTACTTTCACATTGACTGTACTGTCCACAAGCTGCTTAAACATTCAAGATTACTGATTTTTTTTTATGGAAACCAAAAGATTTTTTTAAGCATTCTAGACGCATCTCCAGCCTTCCTTAAAACTGGGCTGCCACTTACAAAAGCTCGTTAAACCACCTACAGCTGGCTGGGCCTTCACGATACCCCCCCCTTGAATATTTATCATCATTTGCAGATGCAACAAAGTAGGCAAAACACTACAGTTAAAATCGAAGTGAATATGAAAATACAGTAACAACACATATGGCAAGATCATAAAACTGTGTGTGTATACACACACACACACACACACACACACATACATACATACATACATACATATATATATATATATATATATATATATACACACACACACATATACATACATACATACATCTCAATCTTGTCGGAAATAAACCCATTTTTGTTGTTTTTCAGTTTTTGACCTAATTTGAAAATACCTGTTACTCTTTACATTGTGTGTGGATTTTATGATGAATGGACCAAAAGAAACCCCAATGTGACTTGGGAAAAAGTCTGGTTCCACTGACTTACATTAAAAGTAAAGTAGTCTTTGTCCTGTAAAGTTACCATTATTATATATATATATATATATATATATATATATATATATGTATATATATATATATATATATATAAATAGAGAGAGAGAGAGGGAGAGAAATATGCTAAAATGTGTACAAATATGTATTATATACACACACACACATATATAGGCTGAACATAAAATACCCTTTCCCCTTTTTGTCAGTATACTCGCAAACTTACATTTATATACACGAAACGTAGCTAAAATAAGTTGTGTATATAAATACATACATACACACATACATGTGTCTATTTGTGTGGGTGTATATATATATATATATATATATATATATATATATATATATATATATATATATATATACATACATACATACACACACACATATACATATATACATACATACATACATGCTTTTTAATGCTTCTGTCTTACTTAAAGTAACCAAACAGAACATGTTCATATAACAATAAAAATCTTGGTGCCACATGTGTTACTAACATGTTATAATGACAGCGCCAGAAAAGACGGGTCAGTTTCTGGTTGCGGCCTTTCAGCTGTTTCACTCTTACAATCTTTAAAAGATGCGAATGCAAAAAAAGGGGGCGTGGCCGCCGAGACCAGGCCTCGCCCACTCCTGGCGTCACCCCACTAACGTGAACGTAGCAGACACAGGAGATTTTCTGAAACGCGGTTTTTTTCCCCTCTTTAAGCAAAAGAGAAAAAAACCCAACAGGCCCCCGTTGACCACCTCTCAGTCCATTGTTTCTTACATCGAGAAATGCCGTGAGAGAGGCGGACTCCGGTGTGCGCGACTGGCCGAGGCTGAAACCAGCTTCTTGTTCGAAACCTCCCGTCCCACCTTAAATGGTGCGCCAGCACTGTAACCGCTGCACCATTTAAGGTGGAACGGGAACAATCGAACAAGAAGCTGACTTCGGCTTCGTCACGACGTAGGACGGGCATTAGAAGGCAAATTGTGATACAGGGCCCTAAAATAGGTAAATAAATAAATATATAGGACAAAATAAATAAATAAATCAGTCACATCGGCGAGCCAATGGGGAAGCAGCTCGAGCCCTGGGCTTTTATCGCCGCCTTGCCAGGATGAATGGGAGGCCATATTCTCTGTATTCGCTCTCTCGGTTGTGCCACTGAGCAGAACAGCGAAGCTGATTACGCTTTATTGTCCGACATTTGCACATCTAGATCTACCTACATCCATGTGCACCGTCACAGGGGTGCAGAAGAAGTGGTAACCACCCCCCACCACACACACACAAATCGAGCCGAGAGAATGCACGCGGCGATGCAAGATAAGAAGCGCGCGCAAAAATAACCCAAAAACACAACAGATTTTTTTTGGGGGGGAAAAATGATACTGGAAACCTGGCGGGCTGAGACCACCGCTACTGAAAAGACTAACTTGCTGCATGCAAAATGCACAAAAGGACGAGCGCGCAGGGTCCCTGAAACCAAACGCAGCTTATCGTGCATAAAAAGGGAGCAGAGATCATAATGAACGCGCGTGAAGCCAAACAAACTCAAAAGAGTTGCATGCAATGCAGCCCCTCGGGGAGGAGGACAGATGAAACACACGTACCTCACTGGTCTTGACATTTTTTCTGCTTCTCTGCAGGAACGCTGCTGGACGTCAAAACGGCTGCTAAACGAGCAAAATAATCAAGAAAATAAAAAGCAAAAAAAAAAATGGTTTTCCAGCGAACGGAGAGGCTGAATGCGACGTCGCTTTGGAGAAAAAAAAACCCCGACCCCCTTCCTCTCCCGGTCACAAAACTAAAAGAGTAAAACGTCTCCGTGGTACTGAAGGATTTGTGTTGAATTTAATTTTATTTTTTACCTTCAGCGACTCAAAATGGTGAATAAAACAAACTGAAACTGCAGCCCTCGCGCAACCAAACCCCCTCGGGCAGTGGGCGAGGCTTTGGGCCGAGGCACCGCCCACTTTGACGAGCTCCGGGCTGCGATTGGGCGATTTGAACGCGCGTTGGGCTTTCCGATTGGCCGCCTTGCCTGTCCGTTAAAGCGAACCGCGTTCCCTCTCCCTTCCCCCTTAAGGCGGGTAGGTTGAGGAGGCACTGCTTAGAAAACAAAAAGAGGCCCTGAGTGGAGGCAAAAAACTGCCCCAGTTTAGGGGCAAAGTGGCATTTTTGGGGAAGATTTAGCACAAATGTTGCGTGTTAGTTAGATAGTTAGCTGAACGGGTCTTCAGTGAAGGAGATTTTTTTTTCTTTCTGCAATTTTGTTTCCCCTACAAATGGTGAGCAAAGATGCCATAGCCTATTTGGCTGGTTTGAACAGGTCATAGTAGAAGGCCACACACACCAACACACACACACGTTTGTATTCTTGTCCTTGTGGGGTGTTTCTACCACACTATGTATTACTGCTACTGAATGCAACTGTGCCACAGCCAACACAACCTCAAAATCCAAAAGCTAATCTTTGGGCTCTTTCACTTTTAACCATTAAAACCTTCTGTTAAAGGCTTTTTTTCTCATGGGAACAGCCAGATGACCCCTCAGTATTAAAATGTTCATGTTTTTCTATCATGTTGGGAACACTTTGTCACACAAAGAGCTTTATACATGGCCTTGTACAGAGCAGTAACTAGCAATAGCAAGTTAGAGGTACAGGGTCTAGGGACAACTGAAAAAAGTGAGAAAATGTGAAATAGATATTGTTTCAAAGCATACCACTCACTTATCAGTCCATGCAGTCAATATATGGAGACTAAGCTTAAAAACAGTCCATTTTAAGTCCATAATTTTGGAAAAGAAATGAAGTTGTAAGGAGTGTTTCAGCTCAGACTGCCTTTTTAATGAGACACAAAACAGGGCAGCCAATCAGAAGAAAGGTGATTTCCATATACCAGTATTGAAAAACAGCATTACCGAAAATTGCTTGTTTGAATCTAACAAAAAACATATGTTGAAGAAAGGCCAGGTAAAAAAATAATTCAGATTTTGGTACATTAAACTGAGTGATACCACGATTGGGGTGCAGTTTGTGTCCCACTGATATAACATTTCCAAATATGTCTGTTAAGTTAAGGTAAACGACTTTCAACCTTGTTACTCGTTTAAGCTGTTGTCAGCAAAGAAACCTTGTGAGAAAAGAGATGTTGTTCCTGAGATGGACAAGCACATTTTTTTTGCATAGACCAATTAAGTCGGCATTTAGTAGTCGGCATAATAATCCCGTATGAGAAAGCTGGATTTGTCTATGACAGAAATTAATGCTGTTTTCTAAAAATTAAGTTTCGAAAACTAAATAGCCCGTTTTATATTACGTTTTTGTAGAGTAATCAGTTTGTCCTATGTACATTGTTTTGAGTGTTACTGGATCCTCTGAATTATAAGGTTATTTAGCAGTCAAAATACTGTTTGGCGTGGGGTCAGGGTTGCCAGAATGCTTCTCTAGATTCTAGCCAAAAAATGTTCAAAACCCACCAAAATGCGTGAAAAACCAAGGTACACATAAAGAAATGGACATTTTAACCATAATAACAAACAAACACCTGAAAAAGATAATTTTACCCATAATACAACAAACACATCCGCTAATGTTTTGCCTTTTTTTCAGATAAGTATTCATGTTGTCACTAGATGGCACTGGCAGTTTTTTAAGCAAATGGTATATTTTAATACACTGATAAAAAAGCAGGAGCACACATGATAAAACTGAGCCGTTAGTAAACTGGCGTGATCAGTTGAGCTCCTGCTTGGTTGGAATGAAAACCAGCAGTCGCACCAGCATTTTTTGAATAAGAAGGACTGTTTTATAGGCTGTGCCGAACAGATCATTGGCCAGTCCAGGTTACTACTATTACAGACAGATGATCCATGCCATGTTAGGCCTGTATGTACATCCATTGCTTCAATGATATAATAAACTGGATATGTTGACCACTGATGTCAATTTCAAACGTTACGTGGGGCATAAGTGGGGCACAGCCTCTGAAGAGGACTGACAAAAATGTACATCAATCGAAGTTTTGATAACTGATTGTGTGAGAGGAGAGATTCAGTCTATTGAAATTTTAACACAGTTGAAAAAGTAATGGAGTAATTAAATTAAGTAATTAAATGTTTGTAATTTTTTATCTTTTCAACTCCTTGAGACCACCGGTGGTTCCAAAACGCACTTCATCATATTCTTCATAACTTTCATATTTCATAAGCTTCATTCTAAAGGTGGGGGTCATATGAGAGCTGTAACTGTCTTCTTTCCAGTCAAATAGATGGGTGATGTAATTTTAAACTCTTATAATAAAAGAAGCTGAACTCACAAATGTTTTTGTCTACTGAAAGTCGACCCATTTTTCCACAAAAGCTATAAACTATAATCAGATGGCGTCTCTTCAGTGATCTGCTCTGTAAAAATTATTTTTATAAAATAATACAAAGAACGTCTAAGATTTTTGGCTTTCAGCAGTAAATTGTAAGCATATAGCGATATGTGTATGATCATAAAACATGTTCTGTTAATTTGAGGGGAGCTTTTAAAAAAAATTATAGTAATTTTGCAGTTACTGAATAATTTGCCTTACGATTTGGCCAGGTAAATTCAGATGGACAAACCAAAATATACCCTGGTCAATAAGAGGTTAATAACCCGCAAAAATAATAACAAACCAGCCCAATTTTTGTCCACTCACCACAGCCGGATCAAACCCAGGAACCCCTCTGGCAGCACTGAGGCCTGTTGTTTCCAGTGTAAACCTGTCAATTCAGTGTGCACCACTGTTTGCTTACATATAGCAATAGTCGTATTTGGGCCTGGTAAAAACAACCTCATAATTCAGAGGACCTGGCAACGTTCAGAGACAAATGTCCATATGGCGAAATGTATAGGTTTTAAAACATTTTAGTTTACCTAAGGACGCGATCGGAGCAGTTTTCCAAAATGCCATTAATTTCTCCCAAAAGAAGACTAGCTTAGACCCAGAATTCCTAATATGGGAATGGCGCTGACGACAGAATGACAACATGACCTCGGTGATCTATGGTCAAGCATATTGTAGCGTATAGGCAAAGGAGAACCAGGTTTTTCTAGATTCATTCAAGGGCTAAATGGCACCCCAGTCATGAAATCACCCAACCACACAGATGCATTAATGGATCCATATCATGAAAAACTTTTCCTCCCTTTTTTAAAATAACAGAGTTTGATACAATATATAAACATTGCTAAAGTTTCAAATCTTACCATTCATAAGTCCATAAAGTCCATATATGGAAACTAAACTTCAAAAACAGCCTGTTTTGAATTCATTGTCTCTGTGATGTCAAAAAAATCCCATTTTTCAATTCACAGCCGTTTAACTCCACCATACACTGAACTTATGAAGAGAGTTTCAGCCCAGGCTCCTTTTAAATTAAGCACAGCACAGGGCAGCCAATCAGAAGAGAGGTAATTTGCATATACACCAGTCTTAAAGACACAGTAATAAAAAACAGCTTGTGTAAGTCTGAGGGATAAAGCGGTCGTGCTGAAGTGAATTATGACTGTTTTTGGTACATAAAGCTGCACATAAAGGTCATAAGTTCACTTCAAGGGAACAAAAATAAAACATAATAATAAGTAGGATACTGATCTTTGATGACAAAATTAAAAGCAGAATGAGGGAAAGAAGAAAGCTGGCTATAAAGAAAAGCAGAAAACATTCCATATGATATTGATCATCAGAGTGTAATGCGGGTCTAAGGTGTTCAGGCCTGGAGTCTTCGCACCTTTGACATGCACTATGTGGATGAATATGAATTGAATGCTGTACTATGTGTAAAAGGCGAGTTGTAGGTTGGTGTTTATTATGTTAATATGACCCAGTCATGACCTCAGTGGTCAGAATTCCTGCGTTGAGTTTTTCTTTTCATGAAAACAAACATCACAAACCTCTTTTTTTACTCTCTCTTTTGGCATTCCAGCAGGGCAGGGTTAAAAATTGATGCTTCTCTGCTCTCCGGCTCTCTCAGGCTGTGGAATCCTCTTTGCTCTGCGGGTATTGAAGTGAGGAGAGGGAACGTCTCTATGGCAACCAGGTGAGGCAGTACTTTCACTCTCGCTCTCTCTCTCTTTTTTTTTTTAAATCTGCGTGTTGTTTGCATTTCTTTAACCTTCCATAACCTTAAAACAGACCGTGCTGTAGGTCTCCAGCCTGAAAATCTCAGGCTGTTAAAGACTACACATGCTTCACACTGACCGTTAAGGCCCGTGCTGGAGGTTGGGAACGTCCTGGCCTAACTCTACAGGCCAAAAGTGCTCTGAATTGGATTTCACTCAGTGAAGTGATAATTATATTCCGAGCGACAGACACTGTTAGCAGTGTTCTCTTTAAGCCTCGCTGCTGCAGCTATGCATGTAGTTCAAGCAGAGTAAGCTGAGCTTGGTGTCACACTATCCATCATTTATGTTGTTCGAAAAAACTGTTGGGTTTTCAAAGTCAGATGGTCACTAACAGACTCTAGAAGCTGGTACTTGTGTTGCGATTACACCTGAAAACGAGCTTTTCCATAATGTTTCCGTTAAACATCATTGGAATCAACTGAATATGTTACAGTTAAGAGTCAGTTAGTCTTAGTTTCAAATGGTAGTGAGTGATACCAGCTGAAATTCTTCCTCCGGTATGAGTATAAATTTGCATAAAAGGTAGACGTTAGCCTGTGTAATGGTACGTGTGGTATTTTAATGAATATATTAGTATTATAATCGATAATAAATCCATAATCATATGCTAAAAAGTTGATTAACAGAAGTGTATTAATCCTCTCACTAAGGATAGACCTTGCTGTGTGTAGGTTAGGGGATTTTGCATTGGAGAGTCCCTGAAGTTCAGAAGCATCTAGAAGCCAGTGTACTTTGTTGTGAGGGCAAGCTGACCCCCAAAGAGTGAGG